AGCGGGGGCAGAGGGAAGCAGCCTTGTGACAGCAGCCTGGGGCCAGGGACCACAGCAGCCGCCTCTCTATGGCTTCCAACCCTGTCACTGTCCTCACCAACAGGACAAAACAGGCAGCAAGACCAGGTGACGGGGCTGGAGGCTGTGCCCCTGCTCCTGGTGCTCTTGCTCTTCCAGCAGTCGCCAGGAAGTGGAAAGAGACTGAACTGGTGGGTATCCCTCCTCCTGCACCCCAGCTTTTCTTCCAGCCCCAGCTGCCTCCCTCGGTCCATGGCTCCAGCGCCCGTCCCAGCCCCGGCAGTGCTCCTGCACGAGTCTCTCTGGGTGTCGGGATGGAAAGTAGCGCTTGTGACACACACAGCGACGGGAAGAGCAGCAGTTGTGCCAGCAGGAAGCAAACAGGGCATCGCTTACAAGGCGCAGCAGCGAGGAGTGCTGGGGACCCTGCACAGAGCCTAGATGATGTCCGTCTCCCTCTCTATGCCGACATACTTCAGGGCGTCTGCCTGGCTGTACCTACAAACAGGAGAGTCACGGCGGCTGTAATGACCGCCCGTGCTCCCCCCAAACGTGTGCACAGAGACCAGGGTCAGCCCCGCACCCCTGTCCCCGGCCGGCCACTTCCCGGGTACCTGTAGTCAAAGAAGAGCTCCTCTCCCGCCTGGATCGCCCTCTTGGCAAAGATCCCGATCCGGTGGTCTCCGTTCACCATCACAACTGCAACCAGAGACATGATGTCAGAGCCGTGCAGCCTCAGCCCCGGCCAGGGGGTCTCGCAGCACTTTCGTCCCTGCTGGCCGCTGCCGGCCCCGGGGACCCCAGCTCCTGCCGAGCGGGAACAGGGCTCCCAGGAGCTCCCCTGCAGCCACCCCTCCTTGCGAGGCCAGCGAGGAACGCGATCTGCTGCAGAGGGGAGACTTTGTCCAGGGCTTTGGAGCTCCCACAGGTTTGGGGGGACTCAGGAGCCCAGAGAATCCGCCGCAACCCCAGAGCTGAGCCGGACCCCCGAGAGCCATCCCCGCCCAGGTGTGACGGGGCAGGCGCATCTCACCTTTGGCATAGCAGTTGGGGTTCACCGAGTGATTGGCAAAGCGGATTTTATTTCCTTTGCGGGTGGCATCAACAACAAAATCTATGAAAAAAAAAAATTAAAAAAAAGAGAAGAAAACTGTAGTGTAGAGCCAGGTCTGCTGCTCTGGCGACAGACAGACTGAACCCGCCAGCCACCCGCCCCAAAAAAAAGCCGGGACGCCCCAGTCTCCTCCACACCGGCAGCCCCGGGGAGTTACCGTTGTTGAGGTTGAAGAGGAAGCTGGACATGTACTTGTCGTAGACCTTCCCTCGCCGGTCGGCCTCATCCTGGGAAATAAGCTGGAGAAGGAGATGCCCTGAGAGAGGCTCAACCCCGAGGGCATGGCGAGGATCCTGCGAGGAGCAGCGCTCGCCCCCCTCCTGCAAACACCCTCCTGCCCCCCACCCCAAGGCCAGGGCTCCCCGGGAGCAGCACACGCACCACACGCTCCTCCATGGCGGAGGGCACTGAGGTGCTGAGCTGGGTCCCAAAGTAGTTCAAGATCCAACCTCTAAACCCGGGCAGAGGGAG